AATATTAGCATGGAATTGAGAAGTTGGTTTACTTGCGTCAAATGCTCCCCATCCGATCTTTTTTCTCATCCACTCACAGACACCTCTTAAATGTTATGAGTTACCAGCAACATTTTTGGTTTTTTGGATGGCAAAATTATGCCTTGAAAAGTAAAATGACACGTCTCATTTTGCTGATAACTCGTTAGTGTTTCAACTTGAATCACTAAAGTGTTAAATGATGTGCTGTTAACCATCATGCATCGGTACAGTTTTAAATGCATCATGTGCCTCCTTCTTTACATTTACCCTATTCCAACGTGTATCGTCGGTTTTCCTACTTTGCACTGTAGCAATTGTTGGGATGAAGTTAAGCAGGAAAAGTGACGAGGTTGATCTGCTTTTGAATGCGGAGCATCGGATGCTAACATTCTAAATGCCACCCTACAGTGGCAGTGGCAGCAAGATCATCCACACTGGTGTGTAAATCCGAAGGAGAAGTCATAGGGACTCCGTTTTCAAGCAAATGAACTTCATTTTACACTGCATTTCAAATTAATCCTGAGATAAAGAGTCTGATAATTATGCAGTATTCACCGTATCTCGACTATTTCAATTCATACATCCTGTTCCCCTGCTAAAGGCGCTAATCTGGCTATTCTGTCCTGCCATTCATAGTATCATAGTTCCCAAAGGTCTCAATTTATACCCTCTTTTTAGCACAGGCATCATTTGCTCTGAGCACCCGCCTACTCTACGACAGGAAACCAGGCGCATATTAATCAACTTTTGGCGTTTAAGCTAGCCGAAGTTATTTCCAAAGTCTGCTATCATCTACTCAGACATGAAAAGAATTTTATTCATTTTCCCACAATAGATTCGGTTCTCATTGTCCATTAAGCTTTCCTACCGTAGGGATGTAGGCTGCTGACTAAACTCACAGTAAAATTGACTGTGTCTGGCATATGTGTGCTACATGAAAAAGCATAAACAGCCAGCACTTTTAAGGTTAAACTTAATAATTTTCGCTTTAATTCTGCTTATCCTAACATTGATTATGTACAGTTCCGCCTTGCATAAACATTATCACTTGGAGAACATCAGTGCCAGCTATTGATTGAACAGCAAAGCCTGTTGTTCCACATCTGCTGCTTTAACAAAATCTTGGCAACATCTGATTTATTGCTCCGAATAAGATTTTTGTCATAAGTTCCTTTTCAATGTGTTTTGATAAAATTGGGCCGTTTCACTTTTAAAGAAAATTAAATTTATACGGATGACGCTGATTGAAATAGCACTTTTAGCTACCATGTTTTTAACTAGG